ATGACAAACTTTACACGAGTCTTTCAGCCAATACCATCATGGCTATACCGACCAATCACGTTCAACGGACCAGACTTATGACATCATCGACTGACAAACACTATTCACTTGACTCTGAAGATGACTTCCGCTCAGGGTTGTCGAAACGTCAGTCACCAACAACAGTTCTTTTCAGAACTACACTCACCCAGACGATCACACTATACGAACCACAGGCTTATTTACTGAACAACGTCTACAACAACCTTTCCTAGAATTTTCTTTAATGTAAGGAGACAAAACATCATGACAAGCGATTAGAACTGAACTCCGTGAAACACACAGATATTTCAACATATTTCAACATATTTCTAATGTCAGATTCGTGCAGGGGCGAAATATTCTTCCAGTTTTTGGTTCAAAAGAGTCGGAACTATCCTTCCGTAGTTGAAAAGAATTTATAAGTCACAACCTGTTAGCATTCGAAACTTGATAAAATCGGTTGCTTAGGCTTCCAGTTGAGGTGCATGTCAAATAAAAAAGTTTGTGTGACAAGCATAATCATACCTGTAACAGTAAGTAATTTTGAGGAAGTTGCACTTCTGAGCCAAACTGCAGAAAACTTGCTAAAAGTTCCCATTCCTAGGAGTTGCAATAATCAACATCTTCTCCGACTGAGTTATGACTGAAGTTGTCTGGATAGCAAAGTCGATCGGGTAAATGTGCCCCTTCGGTTTCCCGCTGTACATAAAATTTACGAAAGACCAGAAATTGAAATCCCTGAAGCTTAGCCAAAATTCAACAACAAGCATTCTGCTGCTGATCCAAACGCATGCACATTTTGTTATTGTCTAGGGTACTCCGGACCGTTCGTTTCAGATACGTCACCGAAATCAATTAAATATCTAAAATAAATATCTCAATGGGGCTTTTCAGGGGCAATGAAACCAAATGATGAAACAAATAATGCAAATGAACATAACATGGTGAAAATTCCCAACTGGCGGGAGGCAGACCAGTTGGCTATTTACGAGCATGACCGAGGAGTTGAACTAGGGTCTAGCGAGGAACAACTCCAGCTAAGTGGTCAGTGCGGAACTGGAACCCGCGACCTCCGGATTTTAAGTCCGGCGCCCTCACTACCGGGCCGGGGAGAAAGCCTTACAGGAACTAGGCAAGGAGGTAACAATACAGCTGTTACCTAGTACAGTAGAGCAAGCACGAAGAATAAATAGCAAAGTTGTAATCTAATATCCACTCACTCTTTTAAACTAACTTGGGCTGGCAGCTGGTAAACATACCATTTATCATTTCTCTTGCTTTTATAAATTCGTTGTTCACAATACACATCAATACATGTCAGGAATAGGGTTTTCAGTTTTACTCAACAAAAGTAAAATGTTTAACTGCCTTATCCGTTTCTCGTTCTCGCAGAACCCTTCAACCTTGAAAAGTGCCAACAACAGCTGCAGTCTATTTATAACACCGTGAGCAAGGTGAAAATCATCCCGTGGGACGAATGCTCTGCCATTCATATTGATGACATCTACACGCAATTATCCTGGGTCAGGGATGACAGGAAACCCAGTGGAGTGACACAAGAGGAACTGGAAGACTACATCGACATATTCAAGGGCGACAAGCATCGTCCTAATCCAAAGCGACTTCTGGTGTATGGACGGCCAGGTATAGGAAAAACCACATTTTCCAAAAAGACTGCTTTCGACTGGGCTAAACAGAGGAAAGGAATCCTAAAGAAATTTGATGTTGTGCTGCTGATTAAGTTGCGAGATGTGTGTGATTTGAAAGATATCCGTGATGTTCTAAGAGCTTCCAAACTGCTGGCTAGTGATGAAGTGGTTTCAGTTGATGATGTCTATGATTACATACTTCATAATCAAGAAAAGGTGTTACTCATTTTGGATGGCTATGATGAGTACTTCTGTACTTGTGAGCAATCCCCTGTCCGTAACATTTGGGAGGGCACGCTACTGAGGGATTGCCATGTCATTATGACCACACGGCAAGAAAAAGCTGACGAAGTAAGATTTCCCAGCCACGTGCAATTTCAAATAAACGGTTTCAAGAGTAACGATCAGGTCAGAGCGTTTGCAAGTAAGTTTCTGAGAGATGAAGAAGAAGTTGAAGAGTTTCTAAGCTACTTACACAAAAAACATTTGAAAGGCATGGCAGAAATACCTCTCCTCTTGTTGATGCTCTGTTTAGTCTGGAAGGAAAGTCACCTTAGGGGACTGCCAAAATCAAGGGCCGTCATTTACACAAGTTTCCTTCAAACCTTACTCAATCACTCTATCGAAAAACATGTAAAAACAAAGCAATTTAGAAAAATAGACGACCATAAAGAAGAGCTCTGTACATTAGGCAAACTTGCCTTTGATGCACTTTTGCAAGATTTTCTTTCTTTTCCTTTTAGCAAACGGCCTAACGGCATTTTAGTTACGAAATTAATTGAAGTCGGTTTGTTTCATGTCCTAAATGTATCAAGTCTAAATCCCGAGCAAGCTGTATATTTTATACATAAATCAGTACAGGAATTCCTTGGAGCTTTATATCTCAAGGAGGAGTTGTTAAAAGAAGAAAGTGCAACCTGTCTGTCCGATGTTGGCTCGTTAGCAAAGATTGTCAAGATGATTGAAGTTCTTAAATTTGCTTGTGAGCTGTCAGCAGATGCGGCATGCGCTGTTCTGAGTCATCTGGGGATCGTAGGAAAGAAGGAAGGTCTGACAAAGTACAACTTCACTGAAACACCTTGCATTGAAGATTTGTCTAAAGACCAAAAGCAGTTTCTAACCCTTATTTCACAATGCTTTTTTTGCTGCGCATCCGAGAAGAGGCGAGATCTCTATCCTATGTTTTTGTCCTACGTTGGAGGTGTTTTATTCATTAATTCTGACCAGCTGCATAGCGTTGCCAGCGAGCATTTTCTGAAATTTGCTGCGGCGCCTGAGTTCATTTTCTTCTCTCACGGTAAACATACAGAGCAAATCTATCGAGACCTGATCACTGTGGTGGACGACCTCAGTGCTGTTGTTGTCAGCTGTTCGGGCGAAAAGAAAGCCTCGGATTTCCTAAAAAAGTATCGTTCAGTAGATGATTTTTTCCTCAAGAAAGAAGACGGGAAGATATACCTTTATATTGCTCAAATTCATGATAGGCATTCTGCATTTCCCACTGAAATGCTAAGAGAGCTAATTTCATTACCAGAGTCTACTCAGAAGAAGAAGTCGGTTAGTGACCAGTCAAATAAACCAGACAACTGTGGCGCTTTGTGTTTGACTGATAACACTGATAGTGCCTGTGATAACATTCAACATGGTCTCTCCCGTGTCTGGAGATTTTTGATTTCTGATATGAAAAGGCAAGAGATGGAAACCCTCATTGCCGTTTTATCCTTTGTGACTTCTCCACGTAGTGTAATCATTTCTGGTGAAGGACTTGCTACTGATCCTGTGTTGGTGGAGACACTGGTTTCACGTATTAAATTTACAAATAGACTTGATAGGTTGGAACTTCAGCATATCAATTTGACAGCCAAGCCTGCTTCTGTCATCGCATCATCTCTGTACCAGGCTCCTAACTTGTCTTATCTCAACTTGTCATCTAACCCTCTTGGTGAAGGAGTAAGTGATCTCACGCGACATCTCAGCCGAGCTTCTCAACTGGAGTTCCTACAGCTTCATGGTGTTAAGATGACAAAAAAACAAGTGAATGATTTGACTGAAGTTGTACGTCAGAGCAAGATCCACGCCTTCTCGTCATCTTACCACGTACGTTTTGCGTCTTTTGTTACTATCTGTTTTAACTGTTTACCGTAATAGTGAAATAACTTTTGATTTCGCAGTTTGCTTTCTTTTCCTTGTTTTGCAGAGGGAACGTTCGATTTTGTTTAAAATGAAAAGACAAGGGCAAAGTTTTGCGGATAAATTAAGCGCGATAAACCAGTCGAATTCTGATCATAAAGAGTTAAATTTTCATGTCACATTGGGACGAAATATCCATTTTAGTTTCACTGCGTGCATTGTTGTGGCTCTGCTGTAAATCTGTTTGTTTTTCTGTTGCAGTGCTTTGCACTTGTATCGCTTGTCTGAGTCTCTCTATTACGCATTGCTCGGCATTTTTAATCCTCCATGGCATGTATGCAAGTTAGAGTTAGTAGCAGCAGTTAGTAGCAGTTTTAAATTGATCCCGAAACGACATTTTATGACGGAGAGTTAATCTGCCTTTCAATAGAATTACATGTAATTTCTGGAAGTTCAAGAACAAAATGATTTAAATGAACAAAACTTAACAGCGTCCGTCAAACTATATCTCTTATACCTAATTTCTCTTTTGGAAGGAAATCCTTCCGGCGCTTGCTAATTCAGTGTTTTCTTTCTATATCAATTTGCACTGGAATGTCCGCCAAAAGCGAATCCTGTTTCAAATTTCTTTTCCGAATCGTCAACATTTTACTCGAAAAGTCTTCAAAGAACAACGTGTGTGAAATTTGCGAATAGAAAATGCCCAGGCTGTAAATCTATTTATGCTAAGAACATTAATTCTGACACGCACAATAGTCTATTACTGAGGCCCGTGACATAACAGAGAGTAAATCCGTAAAAACCTGTTTTAGCAGTGATGTCTCAACTGACTCGTCAACGGTCTACCGAAAAGAATTAAGGAAAGCGGGTGGGAAAAACCTTACCTTAGGTGAATGGCATTTTGACCTACTTCGGCTTGCCTGTTGTCTCCTTCGCAGAGGTTTTCAACGGCTGGCTTTCTTGAAGTATGCATCATCTATAATTCGTCGGATTTAGACTTTTATTCTGGCTATTCGTGAGTTAACTTTGGTCTGATTTCCTTCTGACTGAAACAGTGGCGAAAACGTTTTTGTAAGAAACAAACAGTGAGGTATCACTTCTATTTCCAGGTCTACTCTGGGCATTAAGTCGCCGTAACGTAAGGCGACTTTGGGCGATTTAAGGCGACTTTGGGCGACTTAAGCAAAATTGGCAGAAAAAACAAAGTGACTTTAGGCGATTAAAGGCGATTTTAGGTAACTTTAGGCGACTTTAGGCGACTTGAGGCGACTTTATTTCACTAGAGTAAGCAACAGTCTTTCCATGCTAGTTTAAAATTATCTACTAAATCTCATGCAATAATTTCTTGTTTACTTTTGTATTCACTTAAGTCACCATAGTCTCAAGTATCCAGATTTCAAACCATTTTAGACTAAAAAAATGCGAACATAGATCGCTTGTTAGAAAATAATTGGTCGTAATATTAGCTTGAACTTGAACTCTAAGTAGGGGAGTGGGTTTTGATAGTATAATTATAACTTCAGGAGAACATTTTACCGTCGTATTGCAGCTTTCATCTTTCTCATCTGGCGCACCGACAAAATTGCAGACTTCATAAATTCTTACTTCCAGAGTTCGTAAGGGATGTGAAGATTTAGCTGACCTTTATGATAATGTGATCTATGTAGCTCCACCATACCTCGTAAAGGCCGAATTTATACTAGGGAAGAAGTAACCGTCTGAGACGGATGATTCGTCTGTCTGAGACGAATAAACTGTCGACAATCTGGGCATCGAAGCTCTAAGTCGAGTTTGGCCACATAATTCGTGTAGACACCGGATTTATAACTAGACGATTTATTCGGCTTATACGGTTAAATCGTCTCAGACGGACAAATCGTCTCCTAATATAAATTCGGCGTCGGATTATTTGCCCCTATTGAAAATTGGACCAACTGTTAATAAACAATATTTGAATTTTCAGCACTTTTCAAGGAAATGTAAACTTAAGATTCTTATTTAGTAGAATACGTTTCAATAGAAAAGCTGCGGTTTAAATTGCGAGCTGAGTTGAACAGAGAGTAGTTTTGTCCAGAGATTACCTAGTGTGAAAAATGTCACTAGCCAGGGAAACGATATACAGTTTCAGTATGTTAAGCTGACAGATCTCTTATCAACAAGTAATGGCGAGCTTTGTCGACACAGGCGATGTTGTCTGAGCGCATTTTTGTTTGTTACTTGACAGGACGAGAAAGGAGAACTCAAACCTGGACATGACTGGCCATCTGAGGACTACTGGAAAGCGCTCTGGTGCTATAGGCTAAAAGACCGGTAGTTAGGGTCTGGCGTATCAGGCGAACAGAAGACGAGCTGGAGACTGGAACCTCCAGTTTAATCAAAAGATGAGCTGTAGAATGGGACCTTAAAGGAGAAGGTCACTCCAAAAAGCTTACTTTTTTGTCTCCACCCATAGTAAGTAGACAGTGGGGCTTTCCACCCAGCGTAGTTTCAGCTTCTACAGTGCCTGATATCGTGAAGAAATTTTTCCCAAAGAAGCGCAAATTCGACTTAGGAGGCCGCCATGGTCAGGCAGTCATGTCGTGTTTGGGTGACGTCATTCCGTCAGACTCAAAATTGGCGGGAAAAGACCCTGCAACTGACTTTGCATCGTTCACAAGGTCAGCAAAATGTATTTTTTTAAGCGATTATCCCTTCACTATCTTCACGTCACTGTTATCATTTCCGGAGTTTGAAGCATGTTTGGCCAAAAATAATACGACTCAAGAGCAGCCATAACCCAGAGTGGGAGTTAAAGGGCTTGTCTGAAGCCATTTGGAAAACATCTCTGTTCAAAATGGCGGTAACGATGTCGAATTTTGCCCTTCTTTGGAGACGAATTTCATACGGAAAACCTGCACTTAGAGGCAGAAACTTTGGCGAGTGGCTAAACTTAGTGCAAGGTTTTTATCAGCGTCGACAAAAATATTCCTTTTTTGAACTGACCTTTTCCTTTAACTGAGCATCAATTTAAAGGTTTTTGAGCATGTCTCTTGTACTTTATTAATTTATTTTGTCCAGTTATTTTAGTGTATATATGTCTGGATTTATGAAAACGGTGTTAAAGACTGAATCAAGTGTTTCTTGCTTTATTTGTTTTTTTTTCATTGTTTTTTTTTTCTGCTTTCGCTATGACAGCAGCTTGGAAATCTTACCTAGCATGAAATGTAGAAACTCCTTGACGCATGTTTCATTTACTTAGGTATTTTTTTCATTATTTATCGACCACCACCTCCCCCCCACCCCCTTTTCGATTTGTGTTAAGTTTAGCGCAGGCTGCACTCATCTGAATTCAGTTCATGCAGTGACTCTAACAAGGAGCAGCCGATTAGCATTCTGTATTTGCTGTCTAAAGGAAGTCTGCCTGAGGACATCATTAAGTCCAATGAAGGCCCAATTCTAACAATTTGCTAGTAAGCGTCATCCATTATTGTACGTGAGGCAGG